GGAGCAGCTGCGCTGATCAAGCGCTTCAGGACGCGGAGACGGGGGAAGAGAGCCGGCGCGCTCGTGAAGCTCAGTAAGCGCGGATTCAGAACGCCGTTGCCCAGCATCCATCTGGCGAACCTCCGCTCTCTACCCAACAAAATGGACGAACTCCTTCTGCTCTCCCGGACAAATAAGGATTTTTCAAACTCTGCTGCTCTGTGTTTCACGGAAACCTGGCTGAAAGACGCCATTCCGGACAATTTTTATTTGTGTGTTGTTGTTGTCTCTGTGTACTGGAAGCTTGTGACACTATAACAAATTCCTTGTATGTGCAAACATACTTGGCAATAAAGCTCTTTCTGATTCTGATTCTGATTCTGAAATACACGTGTGATAACAGTAATTCCAGACACTCAGTGTTGAGTGTGGTGATGTTGTGGAGATCATCACGGGTTTGAGGGTCTCAGTTACTCACCTGTTAAAACTTTCAGATTCACTTCAGTGTAGGAATCTACTTTTGCATAAATATCAGTTCCACAGTAGTACGTCCCAGAATCCTGTTCACTCAGATCTCTGATGGTCACATTGAAAACTGCTGCTCTTGTGTTGTCATACAGAGAGAATCTTTCAGAATGAACCCATTTGTTTTTCTCTTCAGTCTTGATTTGGTCTGTGCACTCTGACCACTGTCCTCTACAAAAATACTTAGCATTTTCTGTATATCCTCTATCATATCTGCATGTGATGCTGACTCCTCCTCCTGAATATCCTGTCACACTGATGGAGCTCACCACACCTACAACAAACCAGCATTAAAACACTTTAATATATTTATGAGGCTACACATAAATGAGCTTTCTTCAACTTTTCAACATCAACATGAGCTGAAGTGAAAGAGTTCAGTTTCTCACCAGGAATCATCAGCAGAGTGAAAGTCCAGATGATCTTCATTCTTCTCTCTTATTCAGTGATCTTCTCTGTTGTTAGTAGATTCAGTTCTTCTGAAGCTCTCGATGTGTGAACAGATGAGTTTTAGTGTTTCTTGGTTACATGAACTGATGAATGTGACAGAGACGCCCACTTCCTCTGGTAGAGAGATGGTTAAAAAAAGAGGGAAGTAAACCTTGTTTTTTACAAATGCTTTATATTGAGATGCAGGACTCACATACATAAAACTCATTATAAAGTGTTATTTCAAAGAGATTTCGACAAAATGATTCTATTCCAAAGACTTAGTTTTACGTTTTTATCAGAGCTTTTATTTATATATGTTACGTCCCTATGTGACGCTGACTTGTCGTTTGAGTATTTATTTTTAGATTTTGTGTTCTTTTGCTTGAGTTTTTTCCCCTGTCGCGTTCTCTCTCTCCCATTTACTTACACTTTTGCAGGTGACGCGCGGATTGGTCGGCTCATTTGTCAATCATTCGGGATGAGCTGATTGGGTGTGATGACGGGAGGGGGTTGTTCTTCCATCGCGCTCGCTGATTGACGTCCAGCTGTGCTATATAAGGGAAACGTCTCAGGTTACTTATGTAACCATGGCTCCCTGAGTAGGGAACGAGACACTGAGTCCTCTAGGGGTCGCTATGGGGGAACGCCTCGTCGTGACTATAGTTTAAATAGGCGCCGGGAGCACACATCATTCACTTCT